CTAATGAAATACGTACTTAACAAAATGTTCACGATTGACTTCCACGGTGAAGGAATAACATCGTGTAATAAAAATCAAAACCCGCAAAATTATAATTTGCGTAATTACTGGTGGTAGGACCTCTTGTGAGTCCGCACGGGTAGGTACCACCGCCCCGCCTATTTCTGCCGTGAAGCAATAATGCGTTTCGGTTTGAAGGGTGGGGCAGCCGTTGTAACTATACTGAGATCTTGGAACTTATATCTCAAGGTGTGTGGCGCATTTACGCTGTAGATGTCTATGGGCTCCATTAACCGCTTAACACCAGGTGGGCTGTGAGCTCGTCCACACAGCTAAGCAATAAAAAAAAAAAACGTGTAGGTGAGCTCACGGGACTCTAACCAGGAGTGTTGCTAACACTGGCGATGCCATCGACAGTTTCTAATTGTAAATCAAAGACACAAACATAAAATTTCGTAATAATCGATTCAGCATCTCATGGGAATTTAGTGACAACCGCATATACAGAAGAACTGTTACAATTTTTTTTCACTTTTCTCCGTGCCTAGGTAAAGTAGACAATATCTTGCGTCTACGATTCGTATTAGTAGTGAATGCGGGCGAGCGAGCAGCGTTTATTTCTAGAACATTGGGTTTTAAAGATTCATTCTTAGAAATGAAATTCTCATAGTGCAATATTCGCTCACTTGGAATTTAATTTAGGATTGTTACTGCGGCCGTATTATGAAAAAAACATTACATAAGTTTTTGTTACGTTGCATATGTTGGTTTTAAGTCTACGAAATTTGATATTGGTGATTTGATTCACAAGGATAGCACACTACAGAAACAGTTACAAATAACCAAATGTAATAAAATAAATAAAAAACACACTTAAATAGCAAGATGATTTGAAAATTAAAATAATATGTTTTTTATATATTTTTAGTTTTTAATACTTAATCGATCAGACATATTGAATTTATTCAATGATTTCAGTACATGAGTAGATACAGGCCGAGTTAATAAAATAAATGTGAGTTAAAAACATTAGATTACGCTGACGAACTTCAGACCAGATGGTAAGTAGTAACCGTAGCTCATGGACGTCAGCTATTCCAGGGGCACAGCCAATACCGTCTTTACCATAAGGGCACACGGGGCCTGTGCCCAGGGCCCCCATTCTCAGGGGGCCCCGAAGGACCGACAATTTCTCTCACACTCTCATTTATTCTCAAAACATTTTTGTCAGGCACATAACACTTTTTTCACAAATCAGTAATCTTATCACAAAGCATATACTACGCCATTATATCGATGACTGCGCCTATTCCTACTGTACTAATTAACAATATTTCCGAACATATCCTACCTAATTTACTAAGTACATCATCTAGCGATCACTCACGCAATCAAAGATATCTTTAAAGTCAATTTTTTGAAGGATATCACTTTCTATGCACATAATTCACAAATTACTCAGCCGTTCTTGTAACATTGTTGTTCGCAATTCATTTTTTATTCTCTTATTATATAATAGAAGATTTTGCTCAACAGAAGTCCCGAAAGAAACCGTTATCGTAATCGTAACCAAAAAACCAGCAGCATTCTAATATCATTAATGACATATTATATCATACTGTATTTGATTACCTATAATAAATGGTCATACTCAGTAAAAAAATATTATTATAATTCGTTTTTTTCTTTCCAAAAGGGCCTCAAATTCTTGTGTGCCCAAGGGCCCCAGACTAGTTTAAGACGTCCCTGGGCACAGCCAAGCATGGGACTGCCTACTAAAATGCTGACACTTAATTCAAAATGCGTGACGTAATTGCCACGTTATAAAAAAATATTAAGCTTCATCAATCATTGCCGCGTATAATATTTAGTCATGCTCGGATACCCGAGAAATTTTCATCGATACGACAGCCTTACTTAATAAATAAAGGCATAACATCAATCACGCCGCGATCAATAATATCGTTAACCAAAACTATCTTTATGTACAGAGTTTGGGTAACTTCCTATTCGAAGACAGCAATGTAAATACGGGCATTCCTATCGTCGCAAACGTCACAACTAGAGTTACGACGCGTATGTATCGGGAAACTCGAAACATAAAATTGATGTTACAGATTGTTATCGATTCTCACGTTCACACCGCTTCATTCGTCAAACGGTATGTGACTGGTGCGAAAAATATCTGGTGTTTAAGGTTTGGATGTTCGTGTGATTCTCTTCGCGGGTTTAACTATAGGAGAAGACCAATGTTCGGGTTTTTGAGCGTTGAACGTTCATTGATTTACTTTTCCTCGAGTGTTATGTAGAAGTATTGTCTGGCCGCTAAAAGAATATCTTCGATCGAACAATATAGTGTCAGATGGCATTGAGTTTTAAATGAAACAAATTTGTTATTGATTTGCCTCAATGATACAACATAAGGGATTAAATAATTATTTCCACTTTTTATGTGTAAATATTGTAATTTTGCGTTAAATATGTTGCATTCTCTCGACGGCCGGACAATAGAAGTTTGTGTGTCAAGACTCACAAATATGTATATTATGTATATAATAATATGTACTTCCCTAATTATAATATTATACTGGAGTGGTGGTACGACCAATTCCTGTACGAATTCCCGACTGTGAAAACATCCTATCAAGGCATATAATATTCATTTCTATACCTTACCATGTTTCTCGTATATTTTTACGCTGTAGGTGTTTTGTCAAATTGTATAATACTATTACCTTAAAGCTTACAATATGCCCGAAGACTATTTGAAATACTCTATACTGACAAAGTTGGTTTCCAGAAGTCCTGTCCAAATTTTTGGTCACACGAGTGTACCGTGCGACGTGAATGAATGAATAGCCGGTACTATGTGTACACGGATAGATAAGATAATCGTTGAAAAAGGAATCGAAGTAAACATTTCATCAGCTTAGATTTGTTTGGGGAAAAAACTTTCGACATCTGTTGAACAATTTCTTTCATCATCATAGTTATCGTTAGCCGATAACGATCATTATTGCCATATCTCAAATACCGTTCGTTGCACGCTATGACGTAAATATAAAAATAGAAAATTATTTCCGGAATATAACAAATTGTTATATATATTTTTCCTACCTAAACTTGAGAGGCTATTTCAGCGTAACCTTAACTAGTAGGTGAGCTAACGGGGCTCAAACCTGACGACGTTGCTAACACGAACCCTAGCAAGGGTCGTGCTTCGCAGAATCTACAACTGGATCGGAAACGCGACCTACTGAGAAAATTCGGCGAGAAAGTCAGTGAGCTGACTCTGAGGGTTAATTTACTCGTCGAGCCCTTCGTCACAAGCGACGGGTTCGACGAGAACGATGACGGGTGCTTGAGGTACCTAAAAGCATCGTTAGTGGATCGGGAGGATCCGAAACGACGTGTTTTAGGCTTATATTTACAATGAGATCTTATAGGCTCCTAATAATAGATGGTTCTATAATATTAATTTTATTAACACACCGCCCATAATACTTGGATACCATGTACCGTCACGTGCATCACAGTTTCCAGAGATCCTTTTTGTCAGATACCATCCAACTCTAGAGGAAATTTCTCTTGTTGTTACTTTCTGAGTTTAACACATCCTTCGTCAAACGAGTTTTGAAAATCAGCACCTTCAAGTGAGCTGTATGGTGCTATATCAAATCTATATTTATACCTAAAATACCACAACAACGTTTATTACACAGTATTTAATTATGGGCAGTCCTTTTCTATCATGGCGACGCAGCGCGAGAGCATCGGTATCGCAGGATTCGACTGATGCATGACCACGACCACTCTGTCAAGAGTGTATGAATAGGAAGAAGAAGAAGAAGAAGTCTCTTCTTCTTAGGAATAGGAAGAAGAAGAAGAAGAAGTCTCTTCTTCTTCCTAGGAAGGAAGGACCTGGTGGTAGGACCTCTTGTGAGTCCGCACAGGTAGGTACCACCACCCTGCCTATTTCTGCCGTGAAGCAGTAATGCGTTTCGGTTTGAAGGGTGGGGTAGCCGTTGTAACTATACTGAGACCTTAGAAATTATATCTCAAAGTGGGTGGCGCATTTAGATTGTAGATGTTTATGGGCTTCAGTAACCACTTAACACCAAGGGGGCTGTGAGCTCATCCACCCATCTAAGCAATAAAAAAAATAAAAAAAGTCATTTTTTTCAAGAACTCACAAAAGACAATAGATTTAATTTCCATTCACGTAATTTAATTTATTGAATTTGAATGCTAACCAAATTAGTGAAAGGCGTTGATTGTTTGAAATCAGTAGAAACACCTCTAGAAGTCGAAACAGATTTCCGCATTATCATAAAATCCATAAAAGCCCATTTACAGTTAACTGCTTCGACATTTATGGGGTCATTGAAGGCTTTGACGCCACCTACGAACCACAACGTATCGAAGGTAAAAAACATTTTTGGTAAAATCTCATTATTAACTTTGTTTATGATGTTTTAAAAATTATTCTATTTAAATATCCGGACGCCAGTGGTATTTAGCAGATTTTTTTTTATTGCACTTGTAGGCAGACGAGCATACGGCCCACCTGATGGTGAGTGGTTACCGTCGCCCATGACTTCAGCAATGCCAGGAGCAGAGCCAAGCCACTGCCTACCAATATTTATCATCATCATCTGTGATATTTATCATCTGTGATATTTTCAATTTTTTTAATGCTTAATTGTCATCTATGGAATATTTAATGCAGTGATGTTTTTTTTATCTACAATGAGTGACTCTTGGTAGTCAAGCAGGCATGAGTTCCGATTTAAACGGTGGAAGATTTACAAAATACGATTGAAACCAAGGCAGGTTGCAGCATTCCGATTGTAATGGGCAACGATAACATAATATGTATCGATAAGATTATTTAAAGTTATTTTACTGTTACAGCATTGTTACATGAATTCTCCTTATCTATTACTGACTCTATTTCTAATTCTATATTTATGTACATAATTCTATAGACCAAAACCTACCGGGAGACATTTATCGATGCTGACCTGAAACAAGCAATTGATTTATTAATAAAAATTAAAGGGGTAATTTAAATATGACTACAATTTAAAATGATTTCCAGTCTGAAGTAAAGCTATATAGGGCTTCATAATATATTTGTATAGAATGTTGAATGAACTCTTATGGTTGAAGGAGAACTAACAGTTTTCGTCGATTCTGAAAACTGAAGCGTACAACAAAATTATTTGCTTAAATTATAGACGGTATAGAAACACAGTAAATTTGATATCCAACTTCTTCTCAGAAAGATATTGTAACTCTTTAACTAAAACACTTTATATAACCAGACAAAGTAAGTAATCAAATTTCTAAATAAACGGTGATAATAACCGAGCGTAATCAATTACACAATATGTTACTTAATTACAATATGCAACTTTTTTTAACAAAACGCAGTATATTAATTAAAACAATATCCCTTAAGTAATTGTACGTAATGGAGTTTCTATGGAGACAGACATTCTTTTGCATTTGTATTAATGTAATTATTAGTGTAAGTTCTTGATAATTATGACAAATTCTTAGGGAGAATTAATACGCGGCAAACATCGTAATTAACATCGTAAATCTATTTCTCAAATTTTCAATCTAAATTGACGGAATGTAATAAATTAACATAAATTAAATAATAACTTAAATTTCCTCTCAGATAAAAAGCGAAACTAGAGGCGGGTCTTCATCATAAGTTTATGATGGCCTTTTTGGGGATTTATTGAATTTTTTTAACGTTAAGGCATTCTTCAACTTTTATTCTATTTTATTTATTTATTTTTGACTTTATTTATTCTACAGGATGTACTCGTGAATGGTCAAAGTTCTCCAGCAGGTGCCAGCTTTGCACCACCTATTTCAGTGCTCTCTGGAGCGGGGCTACCACCGAGTTTCACACCTCAACAAATTCAAAGCAAAGAATACGCTAAGCCAGTTTCGGATCTCCTCAACACAGTTTTACGTGGAACGGCTTCTAACGGAGTATGTCCCGAATACATGCCGTTCCGGTTAATACCATCGGGATTACAAAAACAGAAAGAAAGTGTTGGGCCACTACATCAACCAAATAATCCCTTCTATTTAAACGATCAATATTTTCTCCCTCAAGATGAACGTGTACAATTTAATCACGTTCCACCTTCGAATTCGATCCAACCCTATCCTATTGCATCTTCGTCCGTAGTTGTGCCTTCTCCGTCAATAGCACCATTAACTACTTATACAACTCCATTATTACCCCAGTATCCTATTGCGTCCCAACACCAAGAAACACCAACGACAATGTCATATCCTCCCGGAACTTATTTCAACCCTTCTGATAATCATTTTGTCGATTCCTATACAGGATATACAATGCCTCTTAATTTACTAAATGTTAGCATGCCCGAAAAAAGTTCGGATCTGTTTTATTTGCCGAAACTATATTTAAAACCTTTAGAATACGTTTCACCTCCCTTATATTCTGAGCCATGTTTTCAACCTCCTAGCGGATTACAAAATGATCCAAACTATATTTATAATACGGGAAATTTTCGGTTGGATCCTCCAAAGGTTCCTGAAACAGTACCGTATGAATATTACCAGCAATCTTATCCTCTACCTATAAATAATTTTTCACCGGATCCATTCCCTGAATACTATAATTTAGCACCACAAACTTACATTCAATATGAAAAATCTTTTGAAGAACATTATCCAAATTATAAATTGACATCTCTTCCTCCAGTTATTCCTCTACAGCAATTCAATACAAAATGCTTACCGACATCTACTGTGTGTTCAAGTAACACACCTTATCTCACACCGTGCGAGAATCTACCGCCGTCTCCTATACATTTGCAAATTACTTTACCTCCTTCACCAGCTCCTGTGATTGCAATATTAGGTCCTAGCCCGACATACCCAGAATCTCCACCCAAGTCTTTTCATCCTCCAAATGGTTATTTCGGGATGCCCTATCCAATTATAATAGACAGTAAGGAGCCAGGCTGGAAGGATTGGTTTCGTGCAATAATCGTGTATATTTTACTCAGTAGAAACTAGTTGTGGAGGAAACTCTTGCGGTTCTTGTTGTGGCTTTGATAATGAATATGTCCCGTTTCCAATACCTATACAAATAACCCAATTATGCTATAAATACGCGTATTTTTAAGTACAATTAACAGAGCATAAGATTTAAGAACACTGAACCAAGTTATTTTTAGGTGGTACTAAATTATATTTTAGAGTGTAAATATTTATAACTATGTATATATTTGGTGTTAAGTTGAAATAAAAAAAATAATTCAATAGTATTTTTTTCGTGTTTCGATTCTTTTTAGTGGCCATAATTGAAATACGATGTTTTTCATTGAGCTTCTTTACTTTCATGTTATATAAATCAATGCGATATAATAAAATCTTACCTAAGCAGTATTAAATAAATTAATCAATGCATTCTTGCTTTTCAATTTTTCTGACGATGAATTGGCCGCAACTACACGGTCCACTCGAGTAAATTTAAAATGTATAATCTCAACACTTCCACATATTATGTTACATAATAATGTTATATAAAAGATTGCATTAAAAACACATCTCTTATTTAATGTTTTTATCACGTTCAACACGTGAGATAAGACTGTTGGTTTATCATTTTTTATTTCGATTATTTTTGATTAGAAACGTATACACCATGTGAGATCGATACTTAATATATAATGAAGTAAATCTCTTATTCAACAATATTTTAGTTTATAAATGTAGCGTGCAAAGAGACACCGATTTCATTAAATGCTTTCATTTATCTAGTATGAAATTTTCCGTTCTTTTGATTTCAACAATTGGATTGCTGTTAACAAGTTTTCAGGTACGCAATATTTATTAACAAGGAAATGAATAAATAAATGTAATCTTATCTTTATTTTGTTTACAGGGGTTACGGAGTCAATCGTCATTCCCGTACTATGGAGGTCCCGTAGTTTATCCCAACGACAGTGATGATGACGATTTAGGAATACTTTTGACAATTCTTCTCCTCGCTACAAGAAATCGAAACTGTGGTGGATATGGCTGCGGAGGAAATAATTGCTGCAACAGCAACAGTAGACCTCTCCTCGTACCCTGCCCGATTCCAATTCCAATGAACTACCATATAATATCTTACTTCGATAGAAGTTCCGAGGAATATGATTCTGACGAGTACGATTGGGGAGCTGGCTTTTTGAGTACTGACGTTTCGGCTGGTGGTGGTGGAGGTTGCGGCGGCGGTTCCTCCCGATCGAATAGCGATCCCAAACAAGTAGTCGTAATTGATGCTAACAATGGAGCCAGCAAAACCGATGAAGCATCTGGAATTGGGGTAAAGGTTGACGTGCCCGTAGACACTGACGCCTTAAATATAGATCCGTAAAGATCCTTGAAACAGGTTTTAATATTGCAGCGATTCCTCAAAGTTGGTCATATGTCCTCTGACCTCCCTCATTGTGCTTACTATACAAATATAACAATTTCATGAATTAGCCATGTCAAATAAATGACATTTTGCTGTCTCAGCACATAAAGTTAATTTTTAAATAATTATAGTAACTTAATCCTTTGAACGGAGCTTTCACATCTGTACTATCTCATTGATAGATCAAAACTGGTGTTTTAAGTATTAAAAATTCCTAAACACCGACATTGTTCAAAGTTAGTTTATTCTTTTCATCGCCAAGATTAGAACATACGCTAATATTTACATAACGTTTGGTTTTTCTTTTCACGCCATAATCGTTTAAAGATTGTATTTAGAAATTTGTGTCACTAATAACATCATACGAAACCATTATAAGCAATTACCATTCTTCATGTATTACATATCTGTTAAAGTATTTAAATATTTTATTTAAGTTTAGACTCGAATTTTTTTGTAAAATCGATCCTATAGAAAATTTATTATATACTAAAATGTATATCCATTGTGAAATATGAGGTATTACGCTAATGAAGTACTTCAAAAATGTCATAGCGATTCATTATTATGTAATGTTTCTTGTTATAAGATAAAAAGTTTCTTCATCGTAAAATGTTTCATTATGTTGATGAACTGAATTAACTAATGTTATAAAAACACATAACACGTTACGAACTAAAGTTGTTAATAAAGTTTTAATATAAGCCACATTTTACTTTTTACAAATTTGTTATTTGACCACAAAATGAAAAATTAATGACTTAGTTTCAAAGAGTAGCTATGTGAGTGAAATTCAGTGAATATAATAATATCTTAAGAAAATGCGGCATGAACCGGGACGTATTTTCATATACAATTGAGATTTGAGCTCGCGTCTCAAAATGGGATATCATGAGGTCACATATTGGCTCTAGTAACCAGTTAACACACTCGTCTAAGCAATAAAAAGCATGAGAAATGGTTCCTGAAATTGTCAAAGACAAATAAGTCGCTAAAATATTGCATCTACATCAATATTGTTTTTTTAGTAATCGATTTTTCTATATCATTAAAAGGCTACACATCGAATAAGGAAAAAGGTTTTTTTAACTAAAAACAATTTAGAAAGCAAAATCTATTTATTTACAAAAAAACACAGGTTATGTTCATGTATTTGTGTGCCCTTCTTTCACTTCAAAAAGAAAACAATGGATTGACATGATTTTTTTAAATTCATAGTTTTAGGTCAGTAAGTGACATAGTCCATCTTTTATGCCAAAAAAAATATTGCGTTCTCAAGGAAAAATATTTTATCACCTGACACAATATCAAAATTAATTGACACTTTTCCTTGACCACGCGGGCGAAGTCGCGAGTTACAACTACTTAAACAATACACAATTTAAAACGATTATGCTATTTAATATTCTAATTACCTAAATATAAATATCAATTTTCTTTTTACTTATTATCTTAAAGTAATGTATTGAAATGCGACGCGTTGGTGTGTACTTAAATCTGCCATGATACGCAATTATTTAAAATCGTTGTCATTCTAGTGCTTTGAGAAAAATACTACAGGATTTTTAATAGGTATCGCAATAGGTGGGTGATGGGTGGATCTCAGGCCCCACCAAATATGTGACGTGGTTATCTAAATTACGTCATTCACATTGAATCGTGACTTGTAATTATTTTTAATAGTCGTTCCTCCCTTCGGACTAGAACACCAGCAGTTCGCAGCAAAAAGAAAAAAGAAAATGCGTGAACTACTCATACATTACTACACAAACGAACTACACATGCGTACGTTTCAGAAAAAAAAAACACTGGTATTTATACAGTCCCGAACTTGTGATGAATCTTTTATTTGAGACGCGCGTAACAAACATGAAGGATTTGGAATAAAAATTGCTGTTTCTCTATTTATTCATACTAGAGGTCCCGCAGTAGTCGAAATCCGACTATAATTAATTGGAATTGTAAGTTTGTACACTATTATGATTGTATTTTATACTTCTATAATCATAAATTTCGCTAAGACTACACTATAAAAATATATTAACAAAGACAAACAATATTTAATCTATTCTCAATTTGACAACAGACGTCAAGAACAACAGTTTGACAATAAATAGTATGCATGCGTGTGTGCGTCAAATACATGGTATGTAGTGTGTGTAATGTTTTCTTTATTGATTTAATGTATCTTTTATGCATTATTTTAAAAAAATATTAGCATTGTGCAATTCTTCTCTATATTCTCTATAAGTGTGGAAAATTTCATACTTCTCCGTCCGCGCAATTTTCGTAAAAAGGGACACAAAGTTTTTGCTCACGTACACCCACCTGGTGTTGAGTGGTTACCGGAGCCCATAGACATTTATAACGTAAATGCCGCCCCCCACCTTGAAGTATGAGCTCTAAGGTTTCAGTATACTTACAACGGCTTCCCCACCCTTCAAACCGAAACGCATTACTGCTCCGCGACTGAAATAGGCAAGATAGTGGTACCTACCCGTGCGGACTCAGAAGAGGTCCTACCACCAGTAACATTAACCAATAACAGCATTTTAATTTTCTAATAAAAATTTCCGTGACAGTGACGTGTGCGTAAATTTCTGAACACCGGATGACTACAAGTCAGTAAAAGGCTTTGTAGCCGAGACGATCATTAATGATTTAGATCCACAGTACATAACAAAAGTTTCTTGATACACGGTCGGTACTTGCCTACCTGCTTCTAGTAACCTCGAGGGGTTATGCTAGCTTCATCGGATGTGTAGGCGAAACTCACGGGGCTTAGCCTTGGAGAATTTGCTAACATTTACCATAGCAAGAGCAGTGCTTCGCTGAAGCTACCACCGGATCGGAATCGCAAGACACTGAGAAGATCGGATGAGAATTTTAGTGAATTGTGATCTAATTTTTTTTTATTGCTTAGATGCGTGGACGAGCTCACAGGCCACCTGGTGTTAAGTGGTTACTGGAGCCCATAGACATCTACAACGTAAATGCCGCCACCCATCTTGAGATGTGAGTTCTAAGGTCTCAGTCAATTTACAACGGCTGCCTCAACCTTCAAGCCGAAACGCATTACTGCTTCACGGCAGAAATAAGTAGGGTGTTGGTACCTACGCGTGCGGACTCACAAGAGGTACTACCACCAGTAGTAGGAACTTTAGGAATGTAGAAACTTAGTGTATTACCCACCGTATATAAAATCAATAAAAGGGCTTTTATTTCGATAAGGTCAATGTTACCATTCGGCTTTGTAACCCTAATATACATACACATATATATTCGCGAATTTCGGTTTTAAAGTAAATCATGTTATAATTTTGCGACAAGGTTTATTTTTGATTCATAAACATTAGTTGCATTAAACGTCTTAAAATAAGCATTTGTCGCCAACAAAAAAACATATTAACTAAACAATAAATCACCAACAAATGCTATTTTAACATTTTGTTTACATTCTTACCCGGTATAAAAATAGCACGCATGCATATATTTATGTACGAGTACATCTCCACAAGCTATATGTTGGATTGATATGTCACAACATCGAGATCCTTATCTTAAGACATCGGCAATAATGAAACATCCTACGTTGGGACGTGACATACCTACAAAAACGCAAGATAAGAGTTTCTTCGTACGCAGATAATTAATATTCACGATTAAATGAGATACCCCTTCAAGATAATTAAAATATAAGTGTGAGCACGCAAGGAGAACAGTTTACGTATTGAAATGGCGTCCGCCAGACTTGTCGGACTCTTCATTTTACTTTTGTATTCAAAGGTGAGAGTTAATTGTATTTAAATTTTGTTTTGTATTTGAAGTTTGGACGATATTTAATTGATTTTGTTATATCTATTGCAGGACTCATACGGACAGCAAGGCTTGGAAATTCAGCACTTAGGCCTCCAAGTCGTCGGTAGTCCAAATGTTGCGTCATGTCTATCTAAAATCCAAGGATCGAACCCTCTACAAAATGGACAAAATAGCCCTCAACAACCTAAGCTTCAGCAATACAATCTTCAACAACAACAACAGGGTCCCCAACAACAACAAGGCTTCCAACAACAACAGGGCTATCAGCAACAGCAAATTTTGCAACAACAACAGCAATATATCCAACAACAACAAGCCCTTCAACAACAACAAGCTCTTCAACAACAACTGTTTCAGCCCAATAACTTACAAGCACCGGCTAAACAGCAATCCAACACTGTTCAGCAGCCAGTAAATTCTCAGAACTTTAACGTCCCCATTCCAACTAATCCATCTTTCAATTTACAGTTCGTTAATCAGAAACCTCAAGTATTTGACTGTAACAGTTCATCATCAACTAAATCACAACCTCAAGGATCTCAAAAGAATAAAGCGACTTCTACCATTCCTGAAATAGAGTTGACTTCTCTAAAATTTATACCATTGGACCCGAACTTCTCACTACAAGGAAATCCTGATGCATCCCTTACGTTCCAGATCGGATCACAAGTACATCAAATTCCTCTGACCACGCTAACCCAGCCGACGACTTCAACAAATCAGAATTTTCAAAATCAGCCTGTGCATACTCTGCAAAACCAAATCTCACCTCAAATTCAGTCTGTGGTACAACAACAAGTAGACAACAAATATACTCCTCTTCAAAATATGCCCTTCACCTATGCACAAAGTGTGCCTTCTGGTCAATTACAAAACCCGTCTGCGGTCGTCCTGGGATCTAGCTCACCAATTTTATCATCACATAAAAATCAACCGACAATTGCATTACAAAATATGCTGCCTCCTTCGTATCAAGATATAATGGAATCGTTATCTTTGAAATATCCGCCATTTGTAAATTTCTTGCAGAATCCGCAGATTCAAACTTCCATTCCGAACCAGTCATCGTTGAATCCTGTTCCAAATCAATCTTCGACAATTCCCGTGTCAAATAAGCCTATTGCAATATTCCCTGTAACGCAGATTCCTACAATTCAACCACCTCAGCACAA